CGCAAGCCAGTGCACCTGTCGCAGCTGAAGCACCTTCTCCTGCCGCAAAGCCTGAGCCAAGACCAGCAAAGAACTGGAAGAGGAGGGCTAGCCTGTTTCGATCCAAGAGTTCCCAGGAACCAAGAACCGAAAGGCGCAGAGACTCTGTAACAACGAGTCCTACGCTCCCGGACAGGATGTCGAGGGCCAACTCCATGACTTGGGAAACCCAGCAAGAGATGAATACTTCGAGGCAATTGCAAGTAGAAAGGTACGGTGTACTCTTGAGGAATTAAAATCTGCGTGGTGCGCCAGCTGACTCCTGACAATACAGTTGGCACATGCCTGGAAACAGGCAATCCATCAACTACAACCTGATGTCGTACGAGTCGAGAAGGCTTCTGAATCTGACCGAGGATCTCACAGCCTGCGAGGAAGGCTCCATCATGTCCGAAAGCAAGTTCGAGGTATCGCCCAGCACGTGGAAGAGCTCTCATCCAACCCAGCCAGCCATCCCCAAGCTTCCCCGAGCCGATTCCGAGGTATCGCTCTACGCGCCAGTGCGGCGGCGTTCAATAATTCAGACGCCAGGCCTTGCAACACGCTTACCGACGGATTATTCTGCGTCGAGGAGGTCGAGCTTGCGATACAGTGTTGCGACCACGCCAGCGTGTGGGCATTCGCGACTCAACTCGATCGAATCGAGTACTTATCCCACACTACAACCCTTGACCGACTCTTTGACCGACTTTTTCTCCGAGCCCGATTACATGCCTGCCCCATCAACAGAGCCGATTGAAAGGGCTTTGACTCCTTCGGACATGGACTATCGGCCGCTCGGTACCATGAAGTTCGGATCGCTGCGTATCACGAACGGAGCTGCCAGTCCCCTACCAAGTCCGGATTTGGAGCCCGAGGCCAAGGCTGAGGTGACGGAGAAGTTACACAACGGAAAGGAAGAGTACTTCATTCGGGATGTTGGGCTGGGCGGGTCGCGTTCCAACGACAAGGATGTCGAGATGTCGGTGTCGGCAGTCCATGCGAGCACTGCTCTCAGTCCCATTAATACGTCTTTCCTTAGGGTGGAGTCACGGAGTCAACGCTCCAATTCGTTAGTAGTTTCCCTTGCCAATTCGTGCAGAAGACGCCATTTTATGTAAGGCACGGTGAGACGGCTTATGCTGACTCCATTTAGACCGCTGAGTCCCGAGTTACAAACCACTTCCAAGCATACTGCTCTGGAAGACGAGCTTTTCGAAGACGATGATGTGCAACTGGAGTACTCCGCCGAGGTTCTGACTGTCAGGAACGACCCGAATGCGAAACCCAGTTTGGAGCGACTGCGCTCTGAACAGTCCAAGAGGACTTCCCAGGCAATTGTCCGTACCGATAGCGGGGTTGTTGCCAGCCCAACCACTGAGCAGCCGAAACTGCTCTCGAAGGCGGATTCCGGCTACAGCTCGAATGTCTCGCTTAGGTCATTCCATACCAAGCAGTCTGCTGTAAAGGGCGGCCAGCGTCGCTCTACCGCATCCGACGATTCGGGTGATGAACAGTCGGACGGCGCCGTATCCCTGACTGCTGCTGTCGCCAACAAAAGCCCGATCGCTGGCCCTCCCACGGCCGACGATGGCCTTGCTACTGGCACCACGCAACCGTTATCCGCTACTTCTCCATCTCCGCAACCCAAGGGCGATTTTGTTGTTCCTCCCAAAAGCCCCGCCGCCTTGTCGCCCAAGTTCTTCTTCAACCTCAATACCGGCCATTCTTTCCGCAAAGACCGAAAGGGTCCTGTGACAGTTGACAGCGCCAAACCGGCCAAACAGGGGCCCATGTCGCCTCAGTCCACCCCCCCGGGCGACGCTAGCCCCGACAAACCGGCCTCCGTTTTGAGCATCGGAACCGGCCCGCAACGCGTAGGCAAGTTCCAAAGGTTCATGAATGGGTCCAGCCTGCGAGGGCCGCCTGCCGTCCACACGACGCACCCTTCTGACAAGCCGGTGCCCTCTGTGCCCCAGGACGTGCAGGCGAAACTCGGCCAACACTCTGAGCGGTTCCCAACAGCGACCACACGACTGACTCTCCGCCCCCAGGCCAGCAAAGACACGCTCAACACCATCATGAGTGTCGGCAGTGTTTTCCCTGGTCACGCCGATGCCAACCAAGGGCCTCTGCTTTCGGCCGGTGTTAGTCAGGTGACTAAGGATCCCGTTGATGAAACACCTGAGCCTTTCGAGAATCCCAAGACGCCCATGCGCCGATCTTTTCAGTCGGTGCCAGCCTCCATCGCACACGCTGCAGCCTCTGCGTTGCCTCGGCTTTCCATCAATCGCAAGCCGCTTTCTCGCACTCCCAAGGCCGGGAAGGAGTTCACTGGAGAGGCGAATGCAGATGAGATTCAGGTCGGCTTCGAGTCGGATATCACTGCCATGGGCAATGTTGGCGATAGTGCCGGTAATGGTGCTTTCTATCAGGCCTTCCTGGCGCTGCCTAGTCAGCAACCGGCTCATTCACCGCGCGAACGGACCATGACACTGACGGCGGAAATGGAGCGTGGAATGAGAAGGTCATTCTATCCCGCTGAATCGACGTCTCCAACTCCACAACAGGCCGTTTTGCGTGCTCCGCGGCACTCGCAGTTCATGGATGTGACGGCCAAGAGGAGGTCATCGCCGCCGATCAGTCTCCATACCCGGAACAGCAAGAATACCCGAAAGCAGGCCCCGCGGCCCAAGTCTGCGCACTCCAGCCAAACGACTCCGTCGACGAGAAGGCCGGCGTTGCCTCAAGAGGCCAGTCGCGAGACTTTTCACAGCTACCCGTCGACATCGGCAGCAGCGCTGGACGATGCGCTCTCTGCACCACCGATTCCTCCGATGAGCCCTCGAAGAGGCATGGCGATGCTCGAGCAAAGATACACCATGCGTCGCATGAGCGTCGAGAACAAGTGGCGCCCAACCAACGGCTGGAGTGCCGATTCTAACCAAGGCGTTCGTCCGGTCTCGCAGGGGTCGGCTACATCAGTTGGGCACCAATCGCAGCAGCAGCAGCAGCAGCAGCAGCTGCAACAGCTGCTTCGTCATCGGTCAAGTTATGACAGCTACAGCCAGCACCGTGGGCCTGTGGCTCGGGGGCCCGCTGCCGCTTCTCAGGGCGGCGGGTACTACCAGCAGCAACTTATGGAGATTCAGCAACAGCAATGGCAGCAGCAGAGACGCAACTCTTCCGACACTGTTCAACCGGGCCTCTCTCGGGGCCACATTCGCAGCCGAAGTATGCATGCCAACGGCCACCCGCCTTTCCGCGTACTGCATAGCTACAACTCGCCTGCCTACCGCAACGTCCCCATCTGGGGTTGAGCGGTTTACAGTATGTCGGCAGTAACTATCTCTCCATTGTTCGTGATGGCCTGCAGTATCACGTGGAATCTCCTCAAGAAAGAGAATCATTCGTACCGATAAGCGAACCTGTACCACTCCGCGCTACCCTGCGCCTTTTCTGTTGATAATTTCCTCTGTACGACATCTTCGGCATGCACAACCGACGTTCGGACCACAGCTCTGGCGTCTTGATATGGGTTTCCGACCACCTGTTGAATGGGCCGAGTTTTTTCTCTTCTTACTTTCATTTTTCACTTTCCCCTTTGCTCGCACGGCATACACACAACGCAAATCATGGATATACCCTATGGGAAGAGAAGGGGGCCTAACGAAATACGAATATATCGGCCAATGACTTTTTTTTTTGAATACCCACCACTAAACCAGGAAAGGAAGGTGATGGGTGGCATCACAGTACACGACATGACCTTATCGGCTTGAGTTTTAGGTATCGGGGAAATCGGGAGTTTTATTTGGGGAATACCCTTAAGAATGGTCATGGCCTCTGGGGATCTTTTTTGTAACAGGTTTGGGCCGAAAAGGCAACGGCCTGGGTAGAGATAGGCACGAACTAAGGGAATTTACCGGCAAAATGGCCCAACCCCGAACTGCTTGCGGTCTTGCGAAAGATTACAGGACGGCCCCCGAGTTTGGCACGGCCGTTTTTAGACGAATACAACAATGTTCGCCGCTTATCCTAGACTTTCCTCGTCCTGTACTTATCGTGCGTGAAGAATGTGGCACCTCGCGCCGTTGCTGGTCACACATCGTCACCTTCTTCGGGAGCGGGTTTCCCGGTCGTAACGTTCCTAGCCCTGTCTGTTCACTTGAAGTTGCAGCAATGCTTGTTCCACTCCATGAGTCGTAATCACCGGTAGCCCCAGGCCGATCTGAACCCGACAATACGGAACGCGTTGCGGGCCCCCGCCGGCGGCAGTCCGCCGTCCGGAAGCGTACGAGACCCTCACCGCCGCGACAGCTGACTACGCGCTCAGGCTGAGGTCGCCCCCTGGATCTGTTGCGGCTGCAGCGACTGCCATCGCAGTTCCTAGGTGAGCCCGGTGCTCTGTCTCAGCTGGTCGTCGCTCAGAGAGCAAGACACTTTGTCGTTCAATGATGTCCACGGTCGTAAAATTACTCGGTCCGGACTTTAGGCCATCCTGGTAGGCAGTTGGTGGGGGCCAGAGTGGGGTCGCGTCGGATGTTCCCGCTTGTAATTAGCCATGTATGGAACAGCGGCAGCGATATGCTCCTTTTTTTATTAATCAGGTAGATAACGACCGACTAGAGAAACAAATCGATGACTTTCTTTTCTTTCCTATTTCATAGCACGAATTGGGAAGTCATGAATGCAGTGGTGAGGATGGAGTCCCATGCGGTATAATCTAATGTCTGCCAGGTTAGGCGTTGTCGGGAACAGGGACTGCACAGTGAACCAGTTAAGGTGGTTATCGTTGCACAGTACAGCTGCCTATGGATACCTGGCGCATCAAGATAGGTAGATCCTTGACGCGTCGCGTCTTTTCTCCAAGCTACCAAAAAAAGGGTGCAGACGTTGATGATCTCATTCCAGCTGTTCTGCATCCTTTGTGAGGCAAAATATCTGCTGGGAGGCCAGAAGCCGGAATGGACACCGATAAAATGGAAATTGCAACAGCCCCTTCAGCCGAGGGCATCACGACTAACGTACCAGCATCTGAGGCACCTGCCGTCGGGCCCAGCCAGGGCGCTGACTTGGCCGACCTTGCGGAAGCTACCCAGGGCTTCGAGATTACCAAGAAACCTAACGGGAACCAACGAGCCGTCGAGGGTGGCGACGACGACATCGCCTCCGATGCTAGCAGCGCGTTAAGCACAGAGGCTTGGAGGTCCGGGACCTTCGAAAGCGACCTCTTGAATGCGTTGGACAACGTTCAGACGCAGGGCTCTTTCGCCTCGTTTCACCCGCTGAAGCGTGTAGACCCAAACCTCTTCGTGCACGATGTCGGGCCAATCGTTTTGCCACTGCAAGAACCACAGATCCGGCAGATCATCGACAAAGCCATCCAGGCGCCCTTTGGTAAGGGGAGCGAGACCATCGTTGACACAAAGGTGCGAAACACGTGGGAGCTGGACCCGAAGCACTTTGAGTTGCTTAGCCCCCGCTGGCGAACCGACCTCCATAGGATTTGTGCCATCGTCGCTGGCGACATGGGCATCAGGTCGTCGGTCACCGCGGAGCTGTACAAGCTGCTGGTTTACGAGAAAGGGGCTATGTTCAAGGTCCATACCGAGTACGTAGTGGGCAGATGCACGGAACGGTGCACCGGCTGACTCTGATCCATAGCTCCGAAAAGTGCCCCGGCATGTTCGGGACGCTTGTCATCTGTCTCCCCTCGCCGCACGAGGGCGGCGACGTAGTTGTGAAGCATGCCGGCCTGACGAAGACGTTCAAGACATCCGCGGTCGACCAGTCCTTTGCCTGCTGGTACTCCGACGTCCAGCATGAGGTTCTGCCCGTCACGCATGGCTACCGCGTCGTTCTCACGTACAACCTCACGATCGACCAGGCAGCTGAGCGGCCGTCCGCCGGGCTCTTGCGAAGCGAGACACGCATGCTTCGGCATACCCTGATGAGGTGGCTGTGCACCGGAGCTGGGAGCGAGGAGGTGAGCCATGTCTACTACGGCTTGGACCACGAGTATACAGAGGCGAACATCTCCTTGAAAGCTCTGAAGGGGCGGGATCTGGCCGTGGTACAGACTCTGCAGGAACTCGCGTCTGAACTTGAGTTCGATGTGCTCCTGGCCCTGACGGAGAAGATGGAGATGGGTTCTGCAGAGCCCCATGGCTACGATCCTCGCTATGACACTTACAGGCCCTCGCGCCGCCAACTCGAAGAAGACGAGATGGCGCCTCACGAAATTGACGAAGTCTATGATACGGAACTCACCGTCAAGGTGCTCGTGGACCTAAGCGGGCGTCCCATCATTCGCGATATAGCGTTGGAGCAGGATAGTTGCCTTCAAGCCGATGGTTTCTTTGAAGGAGTCAGCCGAAAGGAGGAGTTTGAGGGGTTTACGGGTAATTCGGTGAGTTGCATTCAAATGACTCTGAACTTTCCGACCATGCTGAGAATTGAATCTTTAGGGAGCTACAGCTACCCACTGGTACTGTGTGACGGTAGGCATCTCCAAAGACTGTTTCCGGGACGCTTGGTTAATGACGAGCGCAGGCTGCACTGATCATCCGGCGCGATAGGATCAACCAGTTCCTCGCCGAATCTGCCGTCGCGGGCTCATATCGTAGTGCCGCGAGCACCAAACTTCTGCTGGACTACCTCGCAGATTCGATACTGAAGGACGCGCGCAACAAGGAATCAGCCTTCAACACGCTCAAGGATATTTGGACGAGGGCCAGTGCCCTGACCGGAGCAGCCAGGTGGGAAATGGACATCAATACCATCGGCAAAATGCTGCGGGCCTCCATTCGAATGGAGCGGTGGGAGTTCTTTGAGAGCATGGCTGAAAACATTCGCGTTAACTTACCATTTGAGTACTACACGTGGCTCCGCGAGCAGGTTAGCGAAGGCAAGGTACTATTTGACAAGGTCAAAACTGGGTACGTTCCGTCTATGCCTGCGGTATGGGAGGGTCGTGCTAACCATGTATGCATTTGGCAGCTTGGCCTCCAATGTTCTCGGAGACAGACTTTTCTTCCACATATGTACCGCCTTAGAATCGTTCGCTCCGGCTGATCAGCCATTGACGGAAGAGTTTCGGCAATGGGTGCGAGAGACCCTCGTCAGAGGCCTGACAGCCTCTGCTGAGTCTGCTTGTCTCACGTGCCATGATGGTACGTCGATAGTCGCAAGCGCGAAGAAGTATGCCTACTTCGACTGGCTTTCCTCTGTGTACGTCCCGTGAGATCACTTCGTCTTGATGTAGAGCTCACTCCTTCTATAGCGCCATGCCCCTCATCGAAGATCAATTCATCACGCCGGCATTTACCACCGAGTTCTTGGCAACGTTGTTTAGCTACGCCGTGAAAAATTATTTTTCAGCCAAGGAAGCATTGGGGCTGTACAAACGAGTTGCGAAAGGCTTTGTGGAAAAGCTGAACTTCAGCAGGATCCACGGCACCAAGACTGAGGAGCAGACCCCTAAGGCACCAAGGCACAGCTATGGTCAAACGACGCCAGAGTCCAACACCGTTGCCTACAACAATTTAGCAGTGACTCCCGCCGCCCTAGCCAGTCTCTTCTACGGTCTCATAAAGTTGAGCAGGCCACCACATGACGACCCGGTCATGCCGCTGGCCATGAAACTTGTCAGCTTCTCCCCGAAGATGCGGTCTGCCGACTTCGACCCACTATGGATTCCCTTCCTGCAGCAACTCATAACCGTTCTCGAAGAATTAAATATACCTTTCACCACACCACGCTACCAGCAAATATTTGGCGCCGTGCTTGAGTCCTACCGCGATAATTACGTTGGCCAGAAGCCGGTAACCCAGATTTCGTCGCTTCACGGTGGCATGCACGTCCACGCGCGGTCGCGCTGCGCCTGCCTCAATTGTCATAGACTAAACCGGTTCCTCGAGAATCCTGGCGAGTACGTCTGCCGGTTCTCTGTCAATAAGAAGACACGGTATCATCTGCACCAGGAGATTGAGCGGAACCGCATACAGTGCTCGCATGAGACCGAGCGCAATTGGCCGACAGAAACGCTGGTCGTCACGAAGCTGAGAGAAAAGGAGGAGAGAAAGTACGCGGAAAGGCAGAAGCGGGCAGCCGAGAGATTCCAGGAGTTTGACCAGACGAAGCTGGGGCTGTTACTCGGTGGGGACTATCCTGCCATCGCGCAGGGCCTGTGGAAGCGGCCTGTGAATCTGGCATCGGAACGTGGAGGGTCGACGCACACACTGGCGGCGGGCCCGCCGCAGCCCGGGACCATGCCGGGGCTGAGACCGACCGCTGCCATTCCCGCTGTTTCGTCACTAGCCAACGTGCCGGTGTCTGGTTCTTTCAATGCTTTCACTACTGCCCCTGGGATAGCCCTAGACGGAGTTGTCTCGCCGACGAACCCGAGCTGTCTGTCGCAGCCATTGCCCAGTTGTGGAACTACAACTCTAATGACAGGAGCAGCGGCTCCTCCACCGCAACCGACTCCTTTTCCTTCAAGGGTTTCCAAACGGAAAGCCGAGTCAGAGATAATCGATCTGACTTAGGTAGTCGTTCGGATTATAAAGGCTCAAATGGCAATAATGTATCAGCGAATCGGCGCACCCTCGAATGTCATCGTAAGATAGTGACGGCTTGAACATGGGCGTTTTGTTTTGTATTATTAACATTAACAACCAAAAGCATCTGTCAGTCTATTTTGCAGGATTCCAGGCAGGCCGAGTAGTCTCCACGGCTCATTTCAAGATAACCAGAGAAATTGTGGTGGTGCAATGCCCATCAAGGCTCGAACGAGGCGGGGGTCCAAAAGAGAGGGGCCTTGGAATGCCCTTCAGGAATGTCTTCTTCTACACTGCCACGTTTGACTAAACTAGGGAGCCGATTTAGAAGTTCGGTGGAGATGGGCTCGCGTGACTTCTTCCGCCGATCTTTTCCTCGAGTCGCGCATTCCCGTTCGAGGCGTAAGCTCGAACAGACGGCACGGCATGGGGGACCGCCGCAGTTGGATTCCTTCGGGCCAGACCGTCAACACGACCGGGGACACTGCAGCCTTGCTGTTTTTCGCGTTGGACTGAGCAGAATGCCCTCTAAATCGTCATCAAGTATGAAAATAATAACGTCAAATGTTTGCTGACCATGGATGGGCCCCGGAAGAGACCACCCTCCCAGATACGTTGCTACACCTTGAGCAGGAGCTCTTTGTAGATGCTTCCACGTCATATGAAAATCGTTTGTGTCGGACCGCGACCCCAGGGTATCGTCATTGAATGATACCCGTCCCAAAAGACGCCAAAACTCCACTAGGAAAACCGACCCACGTATATCTACTCGCTCGCCCTGGTACTGCCAACACCTCATCTCCCTACGCGCCAGCCGCGACGCGTTTGTGTATCTTCAAGCAACGTGCAAAGTCGAGCTTCTTACCGTCCTTGGGCATGTGAGTTCCGCTGGCAATGCAGAGCACGCGCATACGCGGGTCGTACCGCAGGCCGGTGAGCAACTTGGGTGTAATGAGGAAGTATTGCGACGTGTGCTCGCGACACGCAATTTCGACCATGCGCTCGTGCACCATGCGTTCGTTACGGGGATCCATGCCTTGATTGATCTCGTCGACCACACGGAAGGGCGACTGGGCCATGGACTGGAGGGCCATGAGATAAAAGATGGTGGAGACGGCTCGCTCGCCACCAGATTGGCGGTGCTGGTTGAGCTGCTGGAGCGTCTCGTTCTCTCTGCGTGCTTGTTAGAAAAACGAACCTGCACGCCGAGCGCTAGGCGTTGGGGGAGTGAAAGATATACCTAAACTTCACCATGATGTCCAGGGCCCACTGGTCAAAGTCTTCGTCTTTGTGGATCCGAATCTCGCCGGCGCAGTTGATCTGCTCAAAGTTGTAGCTGAAGGCATCACTAATCTTGCCGACAAGCTCATCAAGCTTCGGCTCCCACTTTTCGCGAATCTTTGTGATTTGGCGATTGAGGTGGTCCAGCTTGGTTGTCGATGCCTCCATCTTCGAGCGTAGCTTCTCAATCTCTCGGGCCCGCTTTTCGAATTCACGCAAAGCACCCGGGTTAGCAACTTGGATGAGCTCGACCCCGGCTTGTCTGGCAGCGATTTCGTTGTCAATGTCCTCAACCGTCTTGTTCCTTGCTAGGTCTTCGAGGAGGTCCTTTCGGGTCTCGTCTCTAGCAAAGATCTCGATCACCTTGCCTTGAGCTTCCTCGGCACGACGTCTGGCCCGCTGGGACTCCTCGTTGAAGGCGATAATGTTCCGCTTTTCTTCTTCCAGCATCTGCAACAGCTCAGTATTCCTAGCCTTGAGGCCCTGAACGTCGGACTTGGCTTCGATTTGACGGATCTGGGCCTCAAGAAGCATCTCCTGTGCCGTTCGAATGCCTGCAATGGCTGCGTGATGTTGCAGGGTAACCTTGGCCTTGTCCACGATGGCGTTGTCCAAGTCGAAGCTGAGTTGCAAGTTAGCTGCTCTCGCCTCTTCAACTTCTTTCTTCTTCTGATCCAAGGCCCTCTTTTCGTTTTCTATGCGAACATTAGTTTTCCCGTCACCATGCATAGGGGTAGGATCCTACGCACCCAGTTTGACAGGAATCCCTTGGTAGGCATTGTGGGCTTTCTGGAGCTCGTTCTTCCTTTCTCTGAGCGTTTTCTGCGCGCTTGGTTAGCCTGATGACCGTACTCATGCGGAGAACGTCTTACCAGATCGTCATTGATCCCTTTCTTGGTGTTGGCGAACCCAGCCATCTGTTCCCGCATCTCTGTGTTTTTGGCTTTCAAGGTGTCGTACTCAGCTTCGACCTCACTGATCTTACGCCGAATTTCGTTCTTTTCTGCCTCATCGACCGGCTGGTCTGTCCAGAACATGCCTTTCTGGATACCCCTGGTCATAGTCGAGACGGCGCCGGGCCCAAGATCTTTACGTCGAGAGACTCTGTACAGCTGCCGGCCTGTCGCCCAGCTGTTGATGACTTCTCCTTGGGCAATGCGCTCGTACTGGGCGTCGTTGACATCTTTCAGCGCAATTCCCGAAGCATTAAGCTTCTTTTCATTGCAGAGCATCGCAAGGATAGGTTCCGGCCCAGCCAGCATATCGAGCGCGAATGCGTCAAGTCCGCACGCGCTGAGCTCTTCCCGGGATAACTTAGGCCGAAAGTCGTCCAGTGGTCTAAGAATCGAGCGCACGTTGACAGAAAGACTCAGCTCCTTATACAAGTAATGACTGAGCTTCTTATGGTCCTCGCGAGTCTGCGCCGTGAAGCAGAGGAAGTCGTCGTTATGCAGGAGTGCCTGGATCTGATCCGAATAACGCTCATCCTTGACGGAACAACAGAGGGCGGGTGGCCCGAAGACTTCCTTTTCGAACATGCTGGCGTTCTCCTGGAGCCAAAGATAACCTTTGGCCACATCAGGCCATTTTTTCTGGATGAAATTGATAACCTGGCCCTGCTGAGAGTCAAGCCCTTCAAGCTCTTTCATAAGCGTGTTTTTTGCTTGAATCTTGGCATGGCCCTGCTCTTTGATCTCTCGTATTTTGCCCTCAACTTGGCGTTGGTCAGCCTCGAGTTCTCGGAGCTGATGTTCCTTCTCTCGCTGCGTGAATCGTCAGTACAGCCTACAGAGATCCAAGTGAACGACACTTACGATTTGGGAATTGTGTTCTTGAGCGTTGAACTCGGGGGGCTTGTTCTTCTTTTGGTTCTCTAGAGCCCCTATTCTGCTTCGAATCTTGCCTAGTTCTTGCTTCTTGGCCTCAAAACTCTTCCGGTTGGTCTCGATGTTTGCCTCTACCGTCTTGATCTGCTCATCGGCATCCTCGATGCGATTGAGCGCTGTATCTGCACCGGCTTCTGCTCGTCGCAATAATTCTTTGCGTCTGCGAACCACGGTCACCACTTCTTCGTGGTACTGTTGTTTCCGGTTAACCGCCTGGAGAGATGGCGCGGCCTCCTGCTCAAGCTTTTGCAAATTCTTCTGAGCGAGCTTTTCGAGTTTCTTCTTTTCTTTGTAGAGCGCTTTAGACTCAAGGTAGTCGGCTACGGCCCGAGCGTCAGTGAGGTCAGCGATCTGTCGCTGTGCCTCTTCTATTTCGCGTAGCCGATCAACATCCTGCTGCATATCGTTCTGCCGATCCTCGAGCTGCTTCAAATGGTCGGCTGCCGAGTCGGAGCCACGCTGTAGTTCTTTCTGGTCATTGTGCAAGTCCTGGAGGCTCTTTTGCCAATCCAACATCTCCTGTGGCGCAGCGGCCCGCAAAGTCTCGTGTAGCAAGTCGACAGGCGTAGCGGATGCGAACTCGACAACTCGGTCTTGTGGCAGGAACTGACAAAGGTTGTCGACCTGGATCTTGAGGTCCCTCATGAGGATCTGGATCGTCTTGTGTGTAGTATCCTTGCCGTTCAGCCACCATTTCTGACTGTTTCGCTCACGATCGATTTGTACTCGAACAACATGGTGGTGCCTGTCTTGAGGACGACGCTGTAGCTCGATCTCGATGATGGCAGAAGACTTGCCATGCTTGACAAACTCCTTCACATTACCGGCCCGGCCGAGGTGCTTCGGGCTAAAGCCAAGGCCCAGACAGATGGCGCAGACGAGCGAACTCTTTCCCGTTCCGTTGGGCCCGATTACCATGTTGAGATTCGGTCCAGGGAAGAATTCTGCCATTTCGTATGTGACGAAATTCTCGACTTTGACGCGGCGGATGGCACCAGGCGAAAAGCCGTCTTTGTCCAAGTGGTTCGTCGTTCCGTTCACGCCGTTGATATGAGTCCCATTTCCTGAGTCTTCTTCGTCATCGTCGTTGTCGATTTTGCCATCACGACGTCCCAGGCGAGGTCGCTTCGGTCCTTCAGACGCATCAGAGCGGTCATCTGAATCGTCGTCCTCCAGATCACGTCGCCTCCGGCGACCTGAGGGACGAGGAGACATTTTGATATTGTTGCCAAGTGCCAATAGCAAAGCCAAGAACTTTTTTGCGGCGTCGGCTACGGTTGGGTCGGAATTAAATGGATGTGGTATGTACCGTCGCTTTTCATATCATCTACGTTTGGTGAATGGGTAACGTAGGTAGCTCGGTTCGTGGTTAAGTGCGACGCGAGGGAAACTAATTTAGACGCGTCGGGACTGTCCTCACCCCCGCGTCCCTCCCTTCAGAGTGTAGGTAACTTGGGCGGACGCCACGTTAAGCCACTAATTATGTAAGCACGCGGCCTGCTTGAGTGGCGGGGTCGATCGGTGGGGCTCTGCTGGCAGCTCCAGTAGCTTAGCTTTGAACTCCATCCCTTCCACGCCGGTTGGTGATCCGTTGTCCAATGCGACCAACGGCGCCTCCGAGATTGTACGTCGCCCGGCGGCCCACACGTTCAGGAATGTTTTCTAACACCCGATGAAACCTACCTATCATATCATTTTTCTCGGCACGTACCAATGTTGGAGAATTTTGGTTTTCCAAAAGCAGATCCTTGATAGAGCATGGGAGCAAGCGTGACTGCAAGATTACAATATGATTGTGCGTGGATAAATGGATGGGTCAACGCACATATGTGGTGATTTAAATTATATTCACGATACATTCTTTCGAAAGTACGCTCAATACTTTCTTGGCTGGGGTGTTAAGATAGGTAGAAGGAATACATGATGACGTCTGAAGCAGAAGGTAAGCTTACTTAGGAAACCCTCATCGTGGTCTGCTTCGTTCCTTCCCTCTGCCTGGTGAGAAGGCCTACTAGTTGGATGCTAGCGGATCAACTGCATTCCAGCTGCACTGGCAGTACGGATCGTGGTGAGACCTTGTAGCTGCCCGTACTCTTCCCTTCAACGGCTCTCGAAGTCATTAGCGGGAAGGGGGGCAACGTTTGCCCAGTGCCTGCCTCCCTTCGATCCTTCTCCCCCCATCCAACTACCTCACCTGCCCCGGCGCTCTGGCTCCCACTTGCATTCCGTTCCCTCACCACAACAGTCGCCTTAAGTCTCCACGTCTCGCTTCTCAGCAATCACCCTGAAAGTCACGCTTCCTTTCCTTTCTCCCAACTTCACCAACCAATCCACGTTACACACTCTCTTTCGCTCCCTTTCTCTCTGTAATTTCTGACTTTTTGGCAACCGGTCTATTCAAATCCCATCCATTCGTTCAGATTCTGGCCTTCATCACTCTCTCTTCTTCCTCACTCGCTTAACCCATTCAGGATTCTTATCCCCCCTGTCAAAAAATCTCCCACCCTCAAATCGACGCGCAAGATCACCCAACTGGTGCTATTCCAACCCGATCATGTTTTGACTGCGATCACAAATTTGCTGCCGACATGTCCGAAACTGGCCGGCCGAGGGCATCTAATGCCCGGGCTCCTCTCGCAGATGCTACTCAGCGTATCAATAATGCTTCATCCAAAATTCCCGTCAAGCCTTACAAGCCACGCGACAAAGCTGTCAGCAAATCGAGTCACGCAACTTCCTTAGATCGTCGACGCTATGTCAATGAACATGACTTGCCCGTCTCAGGGGCGAGGGCGAACGCTGCCTCCATTTCACGCAATCCTGCTGTGGCAAGAGCAAGGGCGTCCCACGAGACCGACTCATCGAAGCGCATGTCACAGGCCTCTCAGGCTTCCACTGCTCCATCGAGCAAAAGAAGCAGCGGTTACGCTTACAAGACACATATCGGACCCTGGTTACTGGGAAAGACTCTTGGAAAGGGCTCATCTGCCCGTGTGAGGCTCTGCAAGCACCGCATATCCGGGGAGTTGGCTGCCGTCAAAATTGTCCCCAAGAAAACAGCTTACTTGATTCAAGCTGGCAGTCTCGCCGAGCTTCACGATTATGATGACAGCCTGCCCGAAAGAATCAACGGCGAGATGCGCGTGCCTCTGTCAATCGAGCGAGAAGTGGCCATCTTGAAGCTAGTCGACCACCCAAACGTTATGAAGGTTTATGATATTTGGGAGAATCGTTCAGAAATGTAAGTCGCCATAGTATTCAACCTCGGGCCCTACATTCTGACTGGGGAATAGTTATCTGGTACTCGAGTATGTCGAACAGGGCGACCTATTCGACTACATCAATACCAACGGCCGTTTTTCGGAAGAGAACGCTATGTTCATCTTTCGACAGATGATGAGCGCTCTTCAATACTGCCATTCCTTCAACATTTGCCATCGCGACCTCAAGCCTGAGAACATCCTGCTGAAATCTGGCAACAAAGTCAAAATTGCCGACTTTGGCATGGCCGCATTGCACCAATCATCAGATCATCGACTTGAAACAGCTTGCGGTAGCCCTCACTATGCTGCCCCGGAGCTTCTGAAGCACAAACACTACCGCGGGGACAAAGCAGACATCTGGTCCTTGGGCGTTATTCTCTACGCCCTTCTGGCCGCATGTCTACCTTTCGATGACCCAGACATCGGAGCTTTGCTGCAGAAGACCAAGAGAGGAACATACGAGATACCCGATTTCTTGAGTGCAGAGGCCAAAGACCTCATTCGCCGTATGCTCGTGGCCAATCCTGACACCAGAATCAGCATCAAGGAGATGTGGCAGCACCCCCTGATTCGCAAGTACAACCATCTTGATGACCTCGGCCACAACGGCCAGCTCCACGACCTTCGCAAGGAATTTCACTACACCCCCTTGAAGCCCCATGAAGTCGATCCCCATCTAGTCAGACAGCTTCGGTCTCTGTGGCACATGCTCACTGAGCATCAGATAAAATTGAAGTTGATGGATTCTGCGTATGTGGCTATCCGGGCTACACTTGCTGAGAATGCAACTAATAATGACCAGGAAAAACGACCAGAAACTATTTTATTGGCTTCTTTATAATTATCGTCAGAAGCAGCTTGAGAACTTTCTCCCCGAACTTTCTCAGTCACCCAGCGATTACCATCATCTTCACGAACCTGCCTGGAAGAAACGAGTGTCGACAGTGGAGTTCAACCAGCCAAGAGCAGATGGCACTGGCAGAAGTGTCTCACGTTTCACAGTCATTTCGCACGTTGCGGAGACTGACGACGGCACTGTTCAGAGCTACGATCCATACAACTCGAGTCGACCGATGCGAGGCAATTCTCAGGCCAGTCATGCCAAGATTGTGGTCCACCGTACCCGTCGAGCATCCATGAAGCGAGAAAACACCCAGACATCACAGTTGTCACGTATCAGGACAGTCTCGACGCTGCGTCATTCACGGGTCAACTCCCAGCGAACAAACAACACTGGCCGTTTCCAATCACCTCGAAGCTCCATGAACTCTCTTCATAGCAGCAGACCAGGAACCTCCTATGCCCGGCCAGCTTCTCGTCACAAGAGAGGTATTGACTTTTCTCACATCAGAAAGAAGTCTGCCGATCTGTACGTAGAAAAGCGTCGCCGAGGAGTCCCCGAGGTCGACGAAGACAACGAACCCCTCGAGAGATCCAAGTCTCCGAAAAGGCCCTCGGGACACATTCCCGTCATGGAAAGACCCAGACCGAAGCTCAAAGTGGTGAAGCCACGAGATCCTGCAGTAATAGTCAACGAGGAGGTGCGCAACTTCAGCAACAGCATCGCCAAGGATTGTGACGAAGCCTTCAACAGCTTCATGAGTGCCGAGGAGTCAAGCAATGTGTGTTTGAATGAACGTAGTGGCATAAAGAGGGACGCCACAGGCCTGTCTTTTGGACAACCGAGACCATCGACCGAGGCCTCGAATAACCCGTACCACCCATGGGACACAAGGCCCTTGCCCCCGTTGCCGCCCCTCGGATCGGTACAATCCCCGAAATCTATAATCGAGAGAACCGTAACGCCCCATGACCATACCAAAGATGAACAGCAGCACTCTGGTCGTGTTGGAAAGTTCGTGGACCAAGTCAACCGCTTGGCCTTCCCTGTGTTGTTACCTAAGCAAGACCGCCGCACCGTGTCTGCACCCCCTCAAGAACAGCATGGCAAGACAGCGAGTCGCTTGCCAGCTATTAATGAGAGCGGAAGAGATTCGGACTCTTCATACCATTGGGGCGAGAACGACAAGAACAGGATTGTGTCTGCGCCACCAAAGACACCTGGTGGCCAAACTGACAAGGACGGCCTGGATTACTTGATTCGGGCAGGCGAGACGATTCGTGTGGTCAACTCGCCGAGCGCAACAAGTCCAGTCCCCAAGCCTCTGAACGTCCGGAAAAAGTCCGCAGAGCCAGCAGGCCACAACGATCAGATCGACGAGCGTTACATCTATATGCACGGGGCATCGGGTATAGATGAGCCACCGACTCCCTCCACTGCAACCCACAGTAGTGGGCCGACTAAGCAGAAGAAGTCGTCGTGGTTCAAGCGGACTTCGAAAGAAAGCACTTCTAGAGAGGGTAGCATTCATACCGAAGCAACCCAGGAGACACAGACATACAGTATGACGACCCAGTCCACAGCCCCGAGCCGTTCGGAGACGAAGTTTCACGAGCCACCTCCGCCAATGGCGGTCAAGAAGAAGGGGTTCGGTTTACTCTTCTGGAGGAGCAACAAAGTCAAGCCGGAAATCAAAATGGAGATCGTTGGTATGCACAATGTCCGAAACATTGAGGTGGTAGAGCTCGGACAACTGACATCTTTTACAGGCCCAGAGTGTGAGGAGTCGTCTTCTCCGAATCGCCGACGAGCTGTTCAACACAAGACGAGCGGACAGTCGGCTAAGGGCTACAAAGACTCGGATAGAGGTGTGCGAACCATTGAAGTTCATCAAAATTGGCTTGCCCGACTATTTGGAGTCAAACCAGCAACAAGACACATGTGCATGATCATGTCGCGGAAGCGAGCTCGGCAGGAACTTGTGATTCTCCTCAAAGGCTGGCGACGTTACGGCATGGGAGATATACAGGTCGACAAGGAGAGAAACATTGTGTTTGCCCGTGTTGGGGCTGAGAATTGTGAGTCTTGCGGAACGACATTGGCATAATGTCCAGGAGTTCCCCCATTGGCTAACCTTGCCCAGACTTAGGCATAAAAGAGGTAGCATTTGCCGTGGAAATTATGACCGTGATCGAGCACGGGAAGAAGGGGCCGCTTTGCATTATGCGATTATCTCAGGAGCGCGGAGCGGCAAGCAGCTTCCATATGGTGGTGGACACAATTTGGCAGGTGTTCGAATCACGCGGCCTGCTTGTCGCCGACAAGTCCAAGGAAAAGATGATGATCAAAACGCTCAATTCCTGAGGATGGACGAGATTGCATTTGGCGTCAGAAGGTTGGCAGCGATGTTCCATTTTCGGTGGCCGGTTTGGGAGGTTGCTCGATTGAGGAGGGCCAGCCAGTGGCCCTCAGGCTATGCTTTCTTTTTCTTTCTTTTCATTTGTTACACACACTCTCACCAGACATGATATGCCTGGACTCAGAGTATTGACTGGGCACATACTTGGCGGGCAAGACTTGATTATTGAGACACAGGGTGACGGCTCGACATACCAAGTTTCACGAGCATTTGACGGGCAGGAAGACGGCAGATGGATATTGATGTTGTTGGATGGCTTGCCTTGCATCATGGCTGTGGCTTGCATTAATAGTTTAGGCGGACTGGATGACGATCAGACGGGTGAGCGGACGGACAAGCCAGGAGACACCGTCCAGGGTCTGATCGGGACAGAGAGGTGAAGAAGGCATTGTTTATAGAATCAAGTTGTTTAGGTACCTCAAAAGTTGATTGCTAGGAAAGGTTAGAGACTTGCGTGTTTCTCTCATGTGCGACGGCAACGGCCGGAAACTGTCGGCATTCATGAGGACGCCGATTGGACTAGTAGCTTTGAGAGCAGACCTCGGCAGCTCGGTGACTCGGAATTAGGTTACTCAGTGTACTAAAGTAAACGCGGATAGCTCGAACACCGGGTATTATTGGGCTCTGCGTCATACACTGCGAGCACGGCAAGTGAGCAGCGGGGGATGGATGTATGCGAAGGGGCGATGATGGAGGTTGGTGATGAGATACGGTACAATACTCGCCTACCGCAAATTTCTCACTGTGATATTTTTTCCTTCCTTTTTTTTTCTTTCCTTTTCTTTCTCTTCTTTCTCGTTTTTACCCTTTGTATTGATGACTAGAGGAAAGTGGATTACGGCGCAATTTCAATTGGCTGGCAGCCCTTACACTAAGTACTACTTACCGGGAGACCTTCAAATGCGGGCCGCCTCGTGGGATCCTCTTCAACAGTAACCGTGGCCGCCGCGGCCCTGGCCGGCGGCGACATGCGCATGTCCGCCGTGATCTTATCGCGGCCGAATCCGACCTCGGACTGGGGAACTGGAGCACCTCTGCGTTATCGAACCCGCGCAGAACTCCAACAAGGATTAATTTTTTTCTTTCTTCCTTCTTTACCTTGTTCCCCTCGCCTGATGTTCTCGAGTAAGAGCGTTTGCCCCGAGCAAAACTGTCGAGAGATCCGAGCCCAAGGACTGTGGAATCACCTGACACTCCTGGTTTAGTATTGCCTGCTTGCGCTGCTAATGATTTCCCCTGCAATTCTTATCGCCGTCCGACCCCACCATGCATGCTTCCCCCTCTCGTCCGTGTTGCCCTCTGAACCAATGAGATCTTGCCAGGAGGCATTCCAATGAGGTCACTGGTACGCGGAATTGCTACAACGGTGGCAAGCCGGCAACTTACACTGCCTAGGAAAGGAGATCGTCAGTCAGCCTTTATGAGTAACAGAAGGTACACAGGTGATCCTTCTTATGCCATGGGTTGATAGTTTGTGTCTGTTTTTTTGCTGTTCACTCGGCCAACAAGAGACACTGCGACCATGGAAGGCTGGCCGTGTGCTAATCAGGCGAAATCGCGGAGTAGGTTTGGTTTTGTACCGTTGCGAGTACGGCTGACTGTGTCCAAATTGCTTCAGAGTCACCGTCTCTTTCCTTTTGTTGTTTTGGTGGTCAGCTGCTTGGGGAGGACTCGAACTCTGGCTCGAGGTGGTCGAGTCCTGGCTGAAGCTGCGACGGAATGCTTGGTACATTCCTCCCAGCGAGGCGGGCGAGCACATGCAAAGTTGCCGCGCTGGCTGGCTTTGACAGGATAAGATGCTCGGCTCTTTGCCTCTCTGGCGGTCCTCTGGTTTCATACTGCAGCTTCCCCACACTTTCACAAGCTTCCCCGTAGCGTAGCACCATCGCCTCTAACTTTTTTCGTCTTCCTTTGACAAGGCTTCCTTTGTAACCCGATCTCTCCAACAGGGCGACGCGACGCTTGGGTCTTCTCCCCTCCTCTCCTCCCGCTCCCTCCTCTTTCCCCGCTGTCCGGCTCTGAAGCTCTCCCTCCACCCGAACCAGCCCGATCACTGCCGACGACAATGGACGGACGGGAGGAATGCTGGCTGCTTCTGGTTCCTCGACGACGCTCTCCCCCCACCCCGGGCCCTGGCAACCCAGAAAGAAATGGACGGGATCGCTACTACTACCCAGTACATCGCCCACGATGACCCAGATACCTGCCCCGTCGGTGCAGATACCCACCTGTTTGCATGTACCTCGCGTGGGGCCGTCAAGGTTCCCAAGGGTCCCTTTTGCCTCTATACTAGGCTTGTTCTCGGGTCTGCGCATGCATCATTGCCAACCCAACCCATGTCATGTCACGGTTGCGCGCCAGCCAACCCCTCGACTCGCTCGTCTGTGCCGAGCTTGCGACAGCACTCGTCGAGGTCCATCGCTTCTCTCTTGACCATTGCACAGCGCCTTACATATCACTTTCTCGTCACCCCATCCCAAGTCGGCCATCTTCCTCTCCCTTGTCTACTTCCTCCAGAACCTCAGCCTCTTTTCTTCATTCACAACGCCCTCTCCCAGATCAATTGCCTTCGTCTTGAGGCTTCGAAGATAGCCCCCACCGACCCAAATTGGTACAAGACGCTTACTCTAAACGTGCTGTCTCACGGCTAGAAGCTTGTGAGCATTCCTCTTGCACGTGAAAGCACCCCTGCCACGACCCGAGGTGCTTCCGTAGACCAGCCGCTGACCGTAGACGACGATCCGAGTAGAGCACGATTTACTTCGTAAACACCATCACCAGGATCCCGCATACACAACCAGAATGCCGTCCACCGAGTCAATCCTCCAGGGCGTCAACGTCCTGGGTGCCGTCACGGACGCCCAGCGCAAGATTCTGACTCCCGACGCCCTCGCTTTCCTCGCCCTGCTGCACCGCTCCTTCAATGCCACCCGCAAGTCTCTACTCGAACGCCGCAAGGTCCGCCAGGCCGAGCTGGACCGCGGCAACCTTCCCGACTTCCTCCCCGAGACCAAGCAAATCAGGGAGAACTCGACGTGGAAGGGTGCCCCGCCCGCCCCCGGCCTGGTCGACCGCAGGGTCGAGATCACCGGCCCGACCGACCGGAAGATGGTCGTCAATGCCCTGAACTCGGACGTCTGGACTTATATGGCTGACTTTGAGGGTGAGTCTACGCCAATCCCCATTCCTTTTGCAAGCCCATTGATACTGGCCTCTTCGGCGTGCTAACTCCCCACCGCAGACTCGAGCGCCCCGACGTGGGAGAACATGGTCAGCGGCCAGGTCAACCTCTATGATGCCAACCGTCGCCAGGTCGACTTCAAGCAGGGGCCCAAGGAGTACAAGCTGCGTACCGACCGGACGCTGCCTACCCTGATCGTCCGCCCCCGCGGCTGGCACCTGGAGGAGAAGCACGTCACCGTCGACGGCGAGCCCATTTCCGGCTCCCTCTTCGACTTTGGCCTGTACTTCTACCACAACGCCCACCAGACTCTCAAGATCGGCATTGGCCCATACTTCTACCTCCCCAAGATGGAGTCCCATCTCGAGGCTCGCTTGTGGAACGACGTCTTCAACCTCGCCCAGGACTACGTCGGCCTGCCACGTGGCACCATCCGTGGCACCGTCCTGATCGAGACCATCCTGGCCGCCTTTGAGATGGACGAGATCATCTACGAACTGAGAGACCACAGCTCCGGTCTCAACTGCGGCCGCTGGGACTACATCTTCAGCACCATCAAGAAGTTCAGGAACAACTCTAACTTCATCCTGCCGGACCGCAGCGCCGTGACTATGACGGTACCCTTCATGGACGCCTACGTCAGTGGACTTTCCGCCCGTCGTGTCTGTTTGTGAGAGGGTGAGAGAAATGTCAGACTAACCTTTTGCGCAGGTCAAGCTCCTCATCCAGACCTGCCACAAGAGAGGCGTTCACGCCATGGGTGGCATGGCAGCCCAGATTCCCATTAAGGACGACAAGGCCGCCAACGACAAGGCCATGGAAGGCGTTCGCGCCGACAAGCTGCGTGAAGTGCGCGCCGGCCACGATGGGTGAGTTCGTTTCTCGCTTGCTTACTACCTCGTGCTTCCTGGTCGCAAGGGCCAGCAGCCACTGACACCAACATTGCAGAACCTGGGTCGCCCACCCCGCCCTGGCGGCCATCGCCTCCGAAGTCTTCAACAAGAACATGCCGACGCCCAACCAGCTGTTCGTCCGCCGCGAGGACGTCAGAATCGGCCAAAACGACCTGCTCAACATGAATGTCCCCGGCAAGATCACTGAGGAGGGCATCAAGAAGAATCTCAACATCGGTCTCGGCTACATGGAGGCCTGGATCCGCGGCGTCGGTTGCGTCCCCATTAACTACCTTATGTAAGTCCAATCCCTCCAAGAGTAACGCGGTGCGCGAAGCGACTGCGCAGAAGGAGACTTACCCATACCCCACCACAGGGAGGATGCCGCCACCGCCGAGGTCTCTCGCTCCCAGCTCTGGCAATGGGTGAAGCACGGCGTGTCCACGGCCGAGGGCAAGAAGGTCGACAAGGCCTACGCCCTCAAGCTCCTCAAGGAGTCGGCCGACGAGCTGTCCAGCAAGGCGCCCAAGGGCAACAAATTCCAACTTGCCGCGCAGTACTTTGCTGGCCAGATCACCGGGGAGGACTACGCCGATTTCCTGACCACGTAAGTTTCTTCCACGCCCTCATCTCCATTCCTCCACCCCTCCATTCACCCGTTCATCCATCCACGCTCCCCATCCTACGTCGACACGTCGCAACATCGCCACCGCTCGGCGGTTGGCGCTTGATTGCTTTTCATCGGCATTCCCGACTGGAGTGGCTTTTCGCGCCTTCGGAGATTGTCCATCTCGAAGCCCCGGGACTTTGATGAGACGCCAGTTGGGCTGACGAATCACTTCTTCACAGTCTGCTGTACAACGAGATCACCACCGTCGGCAACGCACGCCCTGCTGCCAAGTTGTAAGCTGTTGGACGAGGAGGAGGAGGAGGAGGAGAAGCAGGAGCTAGTCAAAAAGTTTCAGCTTCGGGGAATAACGAGACTCCACGCCTGCAATATGTGATGCGTATTGGAACGTTTGGTTCACTAATCACAACCCATCCACTGGGATTGGTTCAGGAAAGGGGGATCAAGTTCGGGAATGAGTCGAGAATGTATGTTTCACCGACGGATGGGTCTCGGGGGAAGAGTGGGAGGCAAAAAATAAAATCGTTTGGATCACCACGTTTGTTGCGATGGGTGAGGGGGAGATTGACGGCTACGATATGGGAAGCCTGTTCTTGTATTGGCCTACAAGTGTAAAGGCAGAATGAATGCAGACCAAGATCTTTCTTTCCTTCTCATGCACCCCCCTCCCCTCTCCTCCCCTTTCAAATGACGACTCTACCGGGTATCTGTTCCGAGGCGAACTTGGACCGCCGTTCGCCTCGAGGTCTCGGAGTCCTCCAACACCCTCTCCCCACCAATGATGCAAAGAAGGCTGCTCTGTGGCTTCGGGCGTGGGCTTGACGGGGCTCCTTTGGTTGGTCAGGAGGGACCCCTCCGTGGCTTCGTGGCTTCGTGGTTACGCGGAGATGCAGCAGCAGCAGCAGCAGCAGCAAGATTTTCTCTGTGGACACGGGAGGCAAAGGAAGGGTTTCTTGGCCCTTTAGGTCTAGGTTTTTGATCATGAACGGTGAGACGGGCCGATCGCGAGGGCTTGCCCTTGCGACCATCAACCCCCGACGACGCTTCCAAGGGGTGGGTGTATTGCCCAAGGAAAACACCACCGTGTGAACTGGTGGGCTGTGCGCTCTTGATTGTGTGTGTGTGTGTGTGTGTGTGTGTATGTGATCTGCCGACAAAAAAAAGAAAGGCCACTCAGATGGACGACCGCATCGTGACTGGACCCTACAAGCCGCGCGCGCCTCGCGCTTCGCTCACTTGCTCTTCGGCGTTACCTCCGAGGAGCGTCAATGACGTCTTGAGTTGGCACAGGGCCAGAGTGGACGGCGGTTCTTACCGTGGCACGAAGGTGTCTGTTGGGAAACGCTAGAAAGTGACATTCACGGACGAGGTCGGCCGGACATCGGGTGCCCGCCGGAAGCGGGCCCGTCGCCGAAGTGCGAGATAGTGAGTGAGGGATATCGCGCAAGTGATGATCCGCTTACCTAGTTGGCGTGTCTTTGCGGGTTAGGATGCCGTCTGGGAGGAGATGAATAACGCACAATTGCCTCTATCGTTGCTATTCTATCATATCGACAGGTCACAACGGGTTGTTTCAGTGCATGGCGGGATGGTCGGCCGTCCAGGCGATGAGTGAGACAGCCCGTGACCCGCAGAGGCAGGCTGATGGAAGTGCCGGCCTAGGTCAGGCTACCTTACGAGCCTGGAACGGGCCGTCTGGGCGAAGGTGAAGTCGTTTGGGTTGAGAAGCTCTGTCTGTCCTACCGTGTTCTTCTTCGGCTGGCGTGGTATCAGCCATCGTTCAGCCATCGTTGGAGGGGTGATGCTTTCTTGTCTTCATGGGGTGGGGGATTTAGAATATCCATGGAGGTGGGGAGTCTTGGCTGGTCGTACGATCGGGGCTTTCTTTTAGGAGGATCCAATCGCCCCAGTCTTCTTCGCCATCTTCAAAAAGGAGCTTCGAGATGCGTGGCTCGACCTGAGCCAATGCTGATCTGTGGGGGGAGGGTGGGAGGGCGTGTGTGTGTGTTGTTGATATGCCCATGCCGAGGATTGCCATCGTGGGGAGGGAGCTCAGTTCCCTCGCCCAGTGTTCGCATCATGTAACCGAATTCGGCTCGCTTCGTGGTATCTTGGTTCCTTCTATGGTGATTGAGGACCGGGATTGAATCGGATTATCTAAACTATGCGTCACAGTAAGTCAGGACAATGTGATGGGTCGTTTCTAGGTGAAGATACCAACCATAAATGACGGGTCAGCAGACGCACACGTCGCGAAGCAATTCAGGGCTAAAACGAGGGGTGTTGGCTTGACCACATCAGGTCCCTGGGGTGAGGTCAATTTTCCTTTTGTTCCCGGTCCCGAAAGTTTGGTCATTTATGATGAATCGGTGTCACGAGACGTTATGGCGAGCTAGGAGGCGCAACATTCGGAGAGTCACTGGCGATATGACTGGTTGACTGGGATGATGTTTGACCCGATAAGCCTGGAAAGAAAGTGCTCTAGCTTGAGCATACAGATGTCTTGTCTCTGATCTGAACACCAGAAGCTGGCTCCCAGGTCGAGAGGCCGAAACCAGGAAAAGAAAGCAGTCCCTAGTGTCTTGTTCCGTTGCCGCTGCTCTGGGGCCTGGGCCTTTCTCCGCGTCGCTAAGCTTCGAAATATCAAAAGCAACTTGAAAAATAGACGCGTGCTGCGTTTCCTCTTCTCTCTTCAGCGTACGCGGTGAGAGTCACGCTTGTTCGTATTTGAGGCGGGCTCCATTTCCAAGGAAATATCGAATTTGGGGTGCTCGCTGTGCCTACCCATGTACAAGCACCTTCCAGATGACCCCGGTTGTCATCAAAGCTTTGTGTTGGCCGAGACAAAGTTAGCTGCAGCTCATCTTATTCCGCCGCCAAAGTTGATATAAGTCTGCTGTTCACGACGTATCTCGAGAAACTGTGGGTGTAGTAATTTGGCGGGATTTGCTGTTGGCTGCAACTCTTGATTATTTTGATCCTCGGGTGTGATATGCAAACCACGAGGGCGGGTTGGTTCACTTCACCGATTGGTGATCGTTTGGCCCCTGCTGAAAGTCCGTTATGGATACATGCAATCGGTGAAAAAAGAAGAAATATGCGACACCGATGAGATTACCCGGTGTCGTGTAACTGAAGCGTAGCGCCTGCTCTGCGACGACATGATGAACCATGCAAGCGGATAGCCAAGACTCAGCACACACATACGGCAGTCGATTCATGAACCCCCCTCTACGAGACCCCACGCCGACTTGGAACCCCGCTGTGGTCATGTTCCAGTGACGTCGAACTGGAACGTATCGCGCAGGTTGACCGAGGTTTCCAATGCCAAAACACTTGGGGGAATGTATGAGACGCAAAATATGACAGATGGGGAGGCAAGACTAGCGGCCCTCCTAGCGTCGAGAATACCATGTTGGTGTCGTTAGATTCTCAAAAGCAACGCTTCGTCTCGGACCCTCTCTCAGCGCCCTGCAAGACAAAACAGCGTCATGAATCTGTTGTAGCTGATACCGTGAGATGGGGGATCCGGGCAGCGTTTCGATCGCTGCGAGGCGGCTGTGGGGAAAAGCCGCGGTATCCGAGAAAGAGAAAAGTATAAGCAGAAAATGATGACCAATGTTGGAGACCGCTGTAAGGGGTTCTAGTGTGCACTAAATTCCCGGTAATGGAATTTGCCCCAGCAGCTAATGAGTGGGTTGATACAATTCCAAGTGGAAGTCGAAGGAAAGGCAACGTGATGTGCTTCATCCAGCAGGCAAAGTACCAGCAGTGACAGTCTGGGCTGGTTGAAGGAAGATCAGAATACAGGTTGAACCAATCAAGGGTCAGCCCAGGCCTCCGACAGAGTGGAATTGAGCCAAATCGAAGAGTTGCCACCGGGTTCAGTGCCCAGAAACCAAAAGTGATTACCTTTCATGCTCTGGCGAGATTTGTTATGTGTCCCCAGCAGGGGGAGGGGAGGGGGGTATGAAAACACCGAGGACGCAAACATCGGTTGCGGATGTAGATCGGGCCCGAGAACACTTCTAACCAGGAAAAAGCTATGCTTGTGTCTCACACAACACAGGGCTGACCCAAAACACAGGATGATATGTCCGCGTATCCAAAGTCGTCAACACTTCGGGACTGGTTCGGCCATGTTCAAAGATGGGGCCAAGGAACTTGTTGAACAATGCGTCAGTCTCAAGGGACTCGGGTCAAAGTGCACCGTACATGCAGACCTTATGTGACGCTGACAGAACCGAATAATGGAGCCGAATTGTCTTGACGATATGATGAAGGGGATTCACTGGATACACTCGCCGGGTCGAGTGGTGCGTTTGGATATCCCGAGACTCAAGCCGATCAACGTGAGACGCATGAGAATTCATGGCCATATCAGCCGAGAGAAGAGCCGCAGATAACCTCCCTTACACTCGGAAGGCAGAGCGGCTGGTGCAATCTGTAGACAACAGTGGAAACACCTTGCAATTCATGGCCTATGAATGATGTTGGCATGAGAGTTCAAGACACTCCAAGCTTGTTAAGGCTACTCCGGACATGACGCACGTGAGTGATATTTGTCGACGGATCAGCCATATAGATGTAGAAATCTGGGAGAGAGTCAGTATATTGGCCGTATGCACCACATAATCCACTTCCGCTATCTTCGATCACGAAGTTGATGCGTTGACACAGGAAATGGGGACTTGAGAGCTAGACACCGCGTGTGCTGGTGACGTCTATCCTGGTGTTTGTACTCCGAGAGTCATGATTGTCGGAGGCATAGCTTTGCAGTTTGTCTTGCATACACGGCACGGCACCTAGTAGACACCGCTGACGACGATGACGACGAGGGTGAATGGGGTAAAGAAAGCAGTTTTGGTGATGGTGGTGATGAAAGCGATGAAGCATAGCCCCCCGCCTGGTCTCAAGGAGATAGAAGGCGAGTTTTGTCGAGGTCTGAAGAAAACCCAACAGACATGGGATGAAAGGGGCTGAAGAGGAAGCCTGGCTGGATCCAAAAGGGTCTGTGATGTGCATGGATGGAACTTGCCGACAAGATTTGGTGGCTAGCGCCCGAGGCGAGGCAGATGTGGAAGTTGACGGCTGCCACGATCGCGGCTGGCGAAGGGCACTGGACTGATGGCGTAGATGCGGCGCAGCTCTGGCCACGAACGTCTTGTTCTCTCAGGTGGCCACGCCGCGTTGGTCGTTCATAGGCAATGCTTGGGCCCAAGGGCGAGGACGGCAGCGGCGACAGGGACGTATGGGGGAGAGGGGCGAAGTTGGGAAAA